GGTGTATGCATTGCGTTTATATCATTATATTCGCATTGGGGTATTTGAGGGTGTGCGTTAATTACGTTACACGTTGTAGATAATTTATTCTCTTTTAAAATTTTTTGGACGACATACATACATTTATCACCATAATTTCTTTAAAGTCAAAAATCAAAACTTTTTCCCTAACAAAGCCTTTAATTATTTCCTAAAAGTTTAGTTAGGTTCAGTTTATTAACCTATATCTTATACTGCAACTACTGTGGGTCTTCTGCAATATCCAATAATTTACTTCTATCTATATATGTTCTATTTTAGTTGAACTCCTATCATTGTTGATGAATACATACAATTATTATCGTCAATTCGCTCCACAAGTGGCTTCACATATTAAAGAAAATCTGCACCTGGGACAGAGACCTCAGTTACTGGAGTGTGAAGGATGCAGTAGACAAGGCTCATAAAGCTTTACACAAACACACCAAGGAGTTTGAGGTCAGCCATATTGATATATTTATTGTAGTGAAGGTTGCCTTAAACATTCAACGCTCCTGGGGAGGGGGAATAGAAAGAGACAGAGCGATAGTAAATGAATGGATCAATTGTGAATTGTAAGCAATATTTATTAAGTTTGTCTTAAAGAAACAATATGAGTTCACTATAAATTGATATTTATACCTTCCTATTTTCATTGAAACAACACGAATTTTCACTTCTTCCGTACGGAGGGACTCCATGTTTTATATTTATAAATTCCTTCGATAATTTCTAGGACATTGTTTGTAATATAAAGCATTACTTATTGTGAACTTTATCATCTTATATTATCTTAGGTAATTGATGTGTTTGTGAAGTCTGAGTAAATATCCTACTTTAAAAATTGTCTACAGAAAGTTCTAAAGGACAGTGTATCGAGTTGTCTCGTGGACACGGCGAGTGAGTCTATCGACCACGTGGGTATTTGGGATAGACCAAAGAGGGCTGGCACTGCAAGCAATGCCGCGGGCGGAACATATATGATAGATCTTCAGAGCCATGTAGTACTGAACAGAAACATTAAGGTATATAAACACGTCAGTTTTATTACACTTAAAATATAATATTTATTTATTTTATTTATTTAACAATTTTTTAAACATCAGAAACATAAAGGACAAAAGAATATAACACAGGAAAAATAAGTTTAAAAGGTATACTTATCCCTAGAAGGGATTTCTTCCAGTATACCCGGGAAGGGAGAAGTGTGGATAGAGAACTTAAGGTAGACGGAGAAATCGAACAAAGGATAAAAGATACAACAAAAAAACAAAAAAAAACATAAACTAATATAATAATGATAAAAGATTTGGTGGTTATGAATGATTTCGCCTGTCTTCTGTTTTATTTACCTGTAAAGGTAGCTAGCAACAATTGCATTTTTTCTGTCTTTAAAAAAATATATTAGTTACAGTTAGGAATATGCAACATATGCATTACGCAATAATGTTTTAATAATTGAATTCCCTTTTACAGAAATACGAATACCAGCTCGAACAACCTTGTCAATTAATACAAGAGAACAGCCTCCTGGCAAAGATCCCGAGTCTGTTGAACAAAGCTCGAACATTATGTAAGGACAGCATCGCTAACACGGCTACCCCGCGCTACTACATGCTTGGACGACTTTGTAACATTGGTTATAGAGACAAGTGAACATTTAGGATCTTTGGAGGTAATTCTTTTTTTTAAATTCTATAACGAATATTTATTTTATACACGTAAAATTGTTTCAATTTCTATATTGGTTCTTATATAAATGTGAATTGTCATTTCTATTTCATTTAAATAATTTCTAAAAATTAGACATATATCCAAAAAAAATGTCTTCATAAATAATAAAGTGAACATACTGTTGTCATTGCAAACGGTTGTCTATAATTGTTTACTGCTAAGATTGTAATAAATACAAAACATTTTAATAATAATACTCTATATTGTAGGTATATATGTCTTACGACGACCGGAAAACTACGTGGGTCACAAATGCCTCAACATGACCGTACCTGGCGCCAGGAGTAGAGGAAGGCCCAAAAGAGGTTGGCTTGATGTCGTGCAAGATGACATGCGTGCCAATGGACTCCACAAGAAGGATGCCGAAGACCGGGCTAAGTGGAGGAAACTGAGTGGGAAAGCGGACCCTGGGTTCTCCCGTCCTGGGCGGGACGAACAACCGGGACAAACGCTAGGGTGATGATGATGATGCTGATTGTAGGTATATTCAACATTGCCGAAGGACGAACAAAAATCTCAAGCCAAAAACATAACGCAGCAGAAGCGTAAAGCTCTATCGGATCTGTTCAAATATTTGAACAAAATCGGCTTGAATTATCGCACGGGTCTCGTTATACTATCGGCTTCTGAAGACATGTATGATTTCACAATACTACCCGTCGATTGGGATGCCGCTATGAGCTATTTGAAAAGCAGGTATTTACAACTATATAACAAAAGCATTCGACTTTGTCCATGTTTTTGTGTGATCACCAATATTTTGTTATTTGTAAAGTATTTATTTATATTTCTTTTTGCTATAAGTGTATTGTTAAAAGTGTAACAGTTATATGATATAATAGAAATAGAAATTAAATCCGCATTATATTGATATTCCATGACATTATAAATAGTGTTAAATAATAATTGGTGCTAAATTTTTTAGTATATACATTTTATTTCCAGAAATATGCTAACACTCAGAAGAAGTCGATTTCGCGTTATACGAAACATATTTTCGATTTACGAACCGTAGCTACAAGTCTTACAAACGCGTTAGAAATAGACTCTACAGGATGTAATATAACTTCGCTTGAAGAAATACTCAATGTGTTAGTGGAATGCTACGCTCATACGAGCATTCTTATAGAACAATTCAACGTCGTTCTGAAGTCTGTTCCGGAAAAACATTTAAATACTGATTCTGAGCCAGATTTGGACAAAGTGGTATCAAACTCACCTTTGGCTGATTGTTTCAAAGATAGCGATGAATGGAAGTCTCTTAATAAAAAAATTAAGTCAATTATATCTCTAGTTGATAAACAAAAGGCACTGTTAAACAAATTATCTCGAAACCCAAAACAAATCGAAGAATCCATTAAGTTACCTCTAGTTTCTCAAAGTCATATAGAAGTTAAGAATAATTTTGACGTTATAATAAAAAAAAGTGAGGAAATTATTACCGAATATCAGTTTGTTTTCAAAACGACGGTCATAAAAGACTTCACACCGCATCATCCAATACTTAGAAGCCTTGAAAATATGGTGGCTTACATTAAAGATATAAAAACAGAACTTGATAAATTGGATGAACCGATAGACCAAGAAATGGATGAAACTGACGGCACAATGTTAGAGCAGACTGAAGATGTTGTGGCTACGATGTTACTAGTGATACAATCGTTGTACAAAAAACATCTGCCGCCAGAGAAACAAGCGGAAAATATGGACGTTATAAACGCTATTGATGAAATTATACATGAAGGTGAAAAAGTTGAAACCAAAGAAATTTTAGAAGATAATCATTTAAAAGAATTACTCCAAGAGAACATTTCACCTGATTCAAGAATGTTGCAATTGGAAACTCTAGTTACAAAATTGCGCTAACTTTTGATTAACTATGTGCAATGTATTGCGACTCGGTCTGATATGGAAGAAGCTAGAACGGTTGCTATGAGATTGGTACCGATATTGGAGCAAGTTATACTATTTGTCCAATATTTTGTATCCCAAAAAGTTGCTGTGCATAGAGTATCCTGTAAAATACTGTTAGTGCTTTTGAAGATTTTCTTGGATCTGGCATGGAAAGGGTAATTATATGGATACAATTTAAATAAAATATACCACAATGTTAAAATGAATAAGTTGGGGTTGCATTTAAATATAAAACTTTATAAATATCTAAAGTACAGAAAATTTATAAAATATTATAAAAACTTTCATAAATAGCCACAAATTAGATAATGTCAATAAGTTGTTCCACTGAAGCTTTTTAATTCATATTGTACTTACGATTATCCTTAAATAAGTTATTGTTTAAGAATGTTTTAGTCAAGTAATAAATTGAAATTTCCTTTATTTCCTTACAGTTTCTGCCAACACTCAGAACTAGATTCAGAGGAGGGTGAGGGAGAAGGCACTACTGGAGACAGCGGTATGGGACTTGGTGAGGGAGAGGGACAGAAAGATGTCTCTGAACGCATAGAAAACCAGGTGTGGGAAAGGGATAGATAGAATTATTGAAAGATCATTGACTTTAGCGCTGTACACAAAATTTATTACACACAAAAAAATTATTGTTTTTGTTTTCAAAGGATCAATTGGACGACGCGCATAAACCGGATGAAGAAAAGAACGAACAAGATAAAGATTGCAAGGAAGAAGAGAAGGGAGTCAATATGACTGACGACTTTGATTCACAAGACGTCGAACAGAAAGGTTAATAATATAGTCATATAAAATTAAGCTTTAAGCATATAAAATAGGGTTGTAAATTAAATAGATGTCCTTTTAAATTCCAGAACAATCAGATGAAGAAAATGATGATGACGATGCCGATAAACAAATGGGAGATACAGATAATGCTGCCTAAAGTAAGTGAATATCATCATTATTTTTACCACACATTACAATAATTATTATAAAATGTGATCTTAAATATCGAATATTTTTTAATATGTTTTTAGTCACATGTATAATTGAAAGCAGAACCAATTTATTTGAAATTGACTAATATTGTTAAATTGTCATAAAGTCGGTTAGCAAGAGTTAGAACGTCCAATATATACATATGTTAAGAAAGATATTAGGAAAATAAAAGGATGCGTTTATTTTCATTATTGTATAAGTAAGATTCTATAAGCTGTTTTAAAAGCACGGTATAGTTAAATTGCATTTGTATGAACGTTACAGCTCTAGTTAACCACTATGTATAATATTAACTAATTTTGTGTAAAGTTATTTTAATATTCCCTATTTTTTGTTCTTTAATGAAAAGGCTCGATCAACAAATATGGGGATCCGAAGACGAAGAAGATATAGACGAAGAACAAAATAAGAACGAGGCAAAGGTGAGAAAGAAATGGGCTCTAAAGAATAAGAACAAGGAAAAGATGAGCAGTGAAGGAAGGGAAAGGAAAAATAAGATATTAATGAAATGGAACCCGAAGTTGACGATGATCAGGTTAGTTTATTCGACTCTTTCGTTAATATTTAAGTGTTGATGTTAACTATATAGTAAATAATTTATTTTCAAGGTTGATCCCTATCATGGAAAACAACAAGAACTACCTGAGCCCGAAGACTTTGAAATGCCCGATGATTTAAACTTGGACGGCGAAGAAAAAGACGATAAGGTAAACATATATTGTTCACGAAACTCTTCATAACAATTGTTTAATAAAATAATAATAAACTAAATATCACATTCAGGATGGAGAAACTGAAACTGAAAATCCGTTTGAAATCGACGCTATGAAAGAAGCTTTACAAGAAGAGCAGAAAGAAAATGATGATGAAGATAAAGATAAAGGAAATAAAAATGGTCTGGAAGTGTCCAGTGATGAAGAAGGTGAAGGAAACGATGCTGAACAGGTAGACTTATAGTATAATCTTCTATATATATAAAAATGGATTGCTGTTCCTTAGTCTCGCTAAAACTGGAGAACAGCTGAACGGATTTCTCTTATGTTAGTCTTGAAATGTTCGTGGAGGTTCAGGGAAGGTATAAAAGCTGAAAAAATTGATTCATTACTGGGAAAACCATAAAACAGCCCTTTTCTATTTCCCAAACAAACGTTTTTTTTTACATTAGATTTGACAACTAACTAAAATGTCAATGATTCTGTCGCTCTTCAAAACACGGAGATTTATGGCTTACAGGTAAACTCCAAAAATATAAATAAAAAAACGTAATAGATGTTTCTTGATTATAGGGCGATACGAAGTTCGCCAGGTCTTCTAGTATTTTCATAAAATTAACATTATCGGATCTACTAGTCGATTTGTTATACTACAATTTACTGCGTTGACTATTTTCATTAAGACACTTTCATCCGAAAACCAAAGTTTTAATTGTTCTTTAGAGTTGTTAACCACAAAAGCCTTCATTTAAAAAGCAAACTTTAGAAATATTATATTCAAACAATTATCCGTTTTAATCGAAAAATTGGAGTTCTACGAGTTATTCTTTTAATTAACAATTTTTCTACTACTATTATAGCAAGAAACTGCATCAAATTATTATTCTTTGTGATAATCTGCAAAATATATGTATTAAGTTGTGCATTTGAATGTGTTTTTATGATTAAAAAACAATTCAGGCAAATATATACATATGTAAGTACCATTTGAATATTATTCCGTGATTTGTATTTGACTTCTAATTCGTAAATTTGATATACAAAAATGCCGATCTAGTTAAAATCATATTTCAATTTTAGTATTTACAATGTTTTCTTACTCGATATGTGGACGTGACCCGTTTGATATATCACTATATATATATTTTTAACTAGATTTTTTCCGCGACTTCGTCCGCATGGAATAGTGACTTCTGGCAGATTTTTGGTCCTTCCCACATAGTTCCCGTTCTTGCGGGGTCTTCGGAATGATCGAGATCCCGTAGAATTTTCAGAATAAAACCTATGTTTTTTTTTAATTCACAATGAAGTACTCTTAACCAACAACATATTTATTTGTTTATTTGAATAAAGATGAATATTATTATGTTGATACAACTTAAACAAATTATTTCGACCAAATTAGGTACCATAAAAACGCTTTTTGTGAGTTAATCTTAAAAGATAGACATATACTGTCCCAGACTGTTTTTTAGATCATTAAAAGTGCTATTATTCTTTAATACATATTTTTTGTGTATCTTGAAGCGTTTTCACGGCGCACGCAACGGAAGGCTTCAATGATGAAATAATTTCTCCCGTTTTTTACACATTTACCACTATACCTTTGCTCCTATTGGTCGTAGCGTGATGTTATATAGCCCACAGCCTTCCTCGATAACTGGACTATCCAACACAAAAAGAATTATTCAATTCGATCCAGTAGTTTCGGAGATTAGCGCTTTCAAACAAACAAACTCTTCAGCTTTATAATATTAGTATAGATTGTCACGATTGGATCTTATCGACTATTTATCATTATTCGATATATCCCAGAAGTATTCTCTCATGGCTATTTGACAACTGAATTGAATAGTGAACCGTTGGTTGATAATAAGTTATTGGCATACCATAAACCATAGTTCATAGTGTATTCAAGAATCAGGATAGATTCGTATTTTTAATTAATTTATTATCTACAAGTATATTATTAATATTATACACACACTTCAGTTATTCATAGTTCATACTAGTCAAACTTGATGTTTGTTTATCAGTATGCCAAAATAATTTCGTAAGAAAATCATCATAATTGGGAAAAATATATCCAAAAAAACCTTTTTTAAAGACTATAATAAATTAAATTTCCGGCCAATAAATAGCACAGTCAAAACCAAAGTCAATCAATTCTAAAATTGCAATTCGGATAGCCACTTAAATATAATAAGCCTGTTATATGTTTGAAATGTTAACATATTTTTTTCAATAAATAGTCGGTTTAGTAGTAAAACAGATCACCAATTAAAATGGAATTTTGCTCTATTCTATTCTATATCTAAAAATGGTGTTTACTCGAGGGCTCGCGTGTTAAAAGATTTTGGATAAGAAGTTTTATTGCTGCGAGCATTTTATAACATTTCCATAATTCTCCACTCATAGATAATTAATTGCCAAAAGAATTATTTTATAGCCTTTAATATGGCAAGCACCCAACGACTTTTTATTCTGAATTTAATAATTCTATTTGTAACTTAAATTTTATTTTAATTTTATTTTGAAGTCATTACATAACTATGATTGATTGTTTAACCTTCTGCTACGGTAATATAGACTCTTTGTTTTTAAATTTATTTTTAAGTTTTTAGTTCGGTTTGCTATAAAAACGTGTTTTTTAGTTTTTTAAACTATTATTTATTTATTAAACTAGAAATTAACTTGAACTCATTGTACGTTGTAATAATGTATAAAACTTTTTGCCACTAATATTTTAGCAATTTGTTATAATAGGGTTTTTTACAAAATATAACTCCCGCAGTATTTTATAACTTAGCCTAACTTTACAATGATCTACTAATTTGAGACTTCAACTTTAATTAATTACAAATATAAAATGGGTTAAAATACGGTCATTAACGCGATTTTATATTAATTTCCTTACTTGAAGTTTAGATTGGTTTGCTGTATCAATATCGATATGATCGGTCTATTGCCACTTCAGCATAGTAATTTGTTTCGCGATGTCGTTGGCGTCAGTTCTATAGCGTAAACTCTATTCTTAACTCGGTCTGCTAGAGAAAGTAAGAGTTTGTCATGCTCCATAGCTCCTGAACCACCTTGAATAATTGGACCAGTTTTATAGTAGGTTTACGTTTTAGCTCTGTAGGTTAATTTGATACGACTGGAGCAATAGAAGTTTAATTTTTCAACCAAATATGCCAAGATCGAGGCTAGAAATTTGCTATGCTATTTTATATGATTTTCCGGTATGAGTGAACATGGGGAAAAAGAGTTAGGATCATTATTACAATTCTGGACATGTTTATATTAACCCAAGTAGGTGTCTCTGTTAATTAACATCCGCAGTACTAGTTATGAGAATTACCGTATCACAACAAATATAAGGCTAACAGACTCATGAAAACTGTGAATTAATGATGAGGATAGATTGATAAAACAAAATTAGTTATCAAAGTTCATGTGGCGAAACCCGTGTTGAGCAGTGTGAACATGAATTACACGGGAACATTAATTCACGGTAAACGAATTGGTAACACGAAATTAGTTTCATAACAATGATAATGCCTTCAAGAAATTTGTTAATTCTATTAAATAATCAAATTTAATTGCTTACTTTTTCTTCTTACAAGTTTGATTATGAAATTAAATTAAAATAGATAGTTGTTTAAAAAATCGTAATTATTCAGGAAAAAATGGATGTTTAGGATAATGCTTATTCAAAATTCTGTTTATGGTATCCCCGAGTATATTTGTGCGTCGGTCTCCAGACCAGACATATTTATGTATTCTCGAATTTTAAAGCGCGTTGTGATGATAGAGCTAACTGTTTCTTGGGAAACCAACATCCTCAAAAACCATACCATCAAGGTCAATAAATATTACGATCTCACATACGAAACTACTCCAAATAAGTTCGTCGTAGATTTGTAAGCGGTAGAAGTGGGAGCGAGAGGTATAAAAGTTAAATTTCTCTGCAACCCACTTAAAGAATTGGGCCTGTCCAGAACTCACATTAATTTGTTTTTGGAACGTACTTAAAAGACAGTCCTAGTAGGTTCTTTTTAAATTTGGTTAGATAAAGAGAGGATCTTGGACGGTAGAGATGAGCGTTTAACGCGCGTTAGATAAGGCCCCCTTAAACCTACACCTGGGTCCCAGGCACTGTCGAAACTCCACTCATAAGTGGAATATTCCTGACTGGTTTTAACTAACGAGCCTCGAGTATCAATTGTTATATCCGGGTTATACCTAAGTTTCAGGCAATTTGTTTTTATTTATATTAATATTCCAGAATAATATTGACTCTAAACATTAAAAGTTTATTCTAAGCTTTATTATTTTATATGTAATTTGGTTTTTGAACGAAAAATTTATTTGTTATAAATGGAATGATCATATTACTTTTATAACAAAAGTATTTTTGTTTATTTTTTCGGTATAATTAAAAAGTTATATCAAATTAATATTCGTTTTTGAATCCAGTACCGAAAACACGCCGACAATTCCTGAGCAAACCCGAGCGCGAGTAACGTCACAATATTAATTTCTCCTCATTGTAGCACACAGCTGATACATTGATAGAAGCGGATGACACTGTACTATCTTCAAGTTCTTTTAACGTTGTGAAGTCATAAGTACGACTTATCGTGGCGCGTTCTTAGTCACGTGGTTATTTCATAAATTTTATAATTTTTTATCGTTAATAATTAATAAAAATAAAAATTTATTTTTTTTAGGTTTTAGCATCAATTTTAAAGTTTTATTATATAAATTATAAGTTTTGAAGTTAGTAAAAATCGATATTTTTTTTTAACAAACAGTTTTGATTTGCACGTTGTAGACCGTGGTTTAATATCTGAATAATTAATATTAGTTTAACGAAGGTTTATATAACCAAATATGTGCGAAATATCAGTTAATTAACTAATGCCTTGTAATCTATATACAGGGTGACTGGTGAATTACTATCAATATTTAAGGAGAATACTCGGTACATGATTCTCATTCGAATTATGTAAAAAAAAGGCACTTAATTTTTGACAAAATTTCCGTATAAATAAGTAAAGTGTTGACACGTTCCAAGTGTTCAAGTGTGGACGCGTGCGGCGGCGTGCTGATACAACACCACGTCACGACACGCGTATGTGTGAGTGTCAGTGTATACCTAATCTGTAGGGTGTTCACACGATGCGTAATTAATTACATAACTTTTGGTTAACTTTACTTAGAAGTTTATTAATATTTATG